CCAATTCCCTTCAAATTAAATTTAAATTATTTACCATTTGTTGGGAACGAGTGGCCCAATGGGTCCCATCTTCGAACTTGATTTAAGTTTAGTTCAAGTAATCTAAAGTGTGGTCCTAATTGGATATTCCATTCACCTGTTATTCGATTTATAAAGATTGAAAATGTTGACCATTTGCATGGGAAGTACCAGGAGGTGTTCACCAAAATTTGATTCAAATCGTCCATTCTATTCGCCTGTATTGGATTTATAAATATTGATAATTATGACCATTAGTATGGGAAGTACCAGAAGGTATGACCCAAAGGATCCCATCTTCGCACCTGATGTAGACTTGGTGAAGATTGGTGATCTAGGTTGTGCAAAGTTTAATTCAAATCAAACTTTTCATTCGGCTGGATTTATAAAAATTGCAAATGTTAACATTTTTTGGGAGATGACCCAGAATAAGTGGACTCATCTTCGTACTTCATCTAGGCTTGGTAAAGATAATAGGTTGTACAAAGTTTGGTTCAAATCAAACATTCCATTCGTGTGATATTGGATTTATAAATATTGTTATATTGGATTTATAATAATTTTGTCACTTTGTGTGGGAAGTACCAGAAGGTGAGGACCATTGGGGACCATTATAAACTTAAGTTTTTGCTCACTTTTGACCATTTTGTGGTGGAAGTACCAGAAGGAGTAAACCGATATTCCCCATCTTCGAGCTTGAAATAATATTAATAAGTGCGAAATTTGGATGAAACAGCCGGCCAGACAGGCGGACGGACATTTAAAAATCGAGTGGAAAGTGGCGGTTCTTAGCAAGAAAAACAGTCGTCAAATAAACGGTTACAAAGCTCACATGTAGGGTGACACCCTAAACAAATGTTTGATGTAAAAGAGAGAGAGGGAGAAAGAGAAATAAAATGAACGCAAATTGCGGTAACGTAGGGAGAAGTAGGAAACAGTTTTGAAATAAATAAAAGGTTTACATTTTATGGTAACAAATTGTGTCTTTCTCATGATTATAATCATTTTTATTTGTATTCTAAGCGAGGTACATGCAACGTATGGAAAAATTAACTATGAATGAAATTATGAAAATATTCATTTAATATTTGTTCTGTGAGGTCCATTTAATTGTATTTTGTAAAAAGTGTAATCTATCTACAATGAAAAAGTTCTGACCTATTTTCGATATTTTTAGTTAGTAATTACAGTTATAAGTGGGTAATGTCATTATTAATTACCTGCCGGGTAATTCTCTTATTCTCTAAGGAAGAAAATACTGACTTACTGACCATTTAACGTATCCATACAGCCACATTGATATACTCCGTTTGATGTGTTTTTTTTTTTTGGAATTTGAAGGCCACAGTTAACATAAATCGCTGTGTCTTTCTTGAATTTCGGACGATGCTTTCATCGAATCGATTACCACACCATATGACCAGATCTTATAGTTTTATTTTATTAGAAGAGATCTGGTCTGGTATTATTTTATTATTACATTATTGAATAAAAACTAAACATATCATTTAGCTTGAGCAACAATTAAGAAATTGACCTGCAACAGTTTTCGTTTAGAATACTGATAAGGTTTTGTTAATAATTCAATTAAGAAGATATCTTTATATAATTATATAATGGACCGATATGTTATGAAAAATAAAATGTTGGCTTGAAGAATAATTGTTTAAGGGGACATGTACTAAATGTACATTTGTTCAATGAGATGCAGTAAAGGGTTTTTCTTTTTCGTTATTCATAAATTAATTACAAATTCAAACCATGAGACTGTATCAAATAAAACAATTAGCTGACATAAAAAAACTCTATATCTTGGCAAAACAATATATATATTCCCTTTGCAAATAAGCCAAATAAACTTCCATGAAAAAATAATCTCTGCCATATAACGCAATGGCAAAAAGTGTATTAAATTACAGGTAATCTAAACAACATTTTCTTTAATAAATTGACCACAAATCTAAATGGACACCAACACACATAAGCAGTAATGGTGTAAGTAACTTAGAAAAGTTTTACGGAAATTAGTTTCAAATTTTCTTTATCAAAGAAAAGTGTATGTGTTTTTGTTGTTGTTGCAGAAAACAGTAACAAATGGTTAGGGCAATAGGAATATCTCAATCCTAACAGTCTAAGTAATTCAATTAGGAAATACTTGTTGTTTTATTTTACCAACATGTACGAAATTGGTTAAATTTTATTGGGTTTGTTGCTAAGAAATATATTATGGGTTTAGTTTCAACGAACATTGGATAAAATGAATCACATGGCATGTAATTGGCTTATGACAAATGAAATTAATACAGTTTGAGGGTAATTTGATAATGGGAATATACTATTCGCAAAACAGTTCATTGAAAATGAATTTAATACCTTGACTTTACACGACTATGTTGTAAGGGTACTATAGTTTTGTGTGGCCTCAAGAATTTGTAATGCCACGAAAAATTGGGTCTAGACCAATCTTTTAGTATACCGGTCATACCTCGGTAGTTGAGTCGATTTAGAAATATGTGTCCATCCGTCCATTATAATTTGTAAACACTATACAGGTCGTAGTTAAGGAGAAATAATCACGATTTTGATTATGTCCAAAAGTAGGTTCTAGAAGAAGAGGATTTAATCTAAGTAGGGTAAAAATATTTCGATTTCCAAATTAAATTTCGGACATTCCATTCACTTGATATGGGATTTACAAATATTAGCACTTTGTGGAGGAGGTACCAAAAGCACTGGCTCGAGATGTCTCATCTTCGGACTTTATCCACGTAAGGTAAAAAAATTTAAAATTTAAATTTTTTTAAAAACATTTTTAGTGCTAGATTTAGCACTTTTTAAACTCGTTTAGCACCAAAAAAGTGATCTAGCACCTAGCACTTTTTTTAGCATTTTTTTATTTTTCAGTAATTTTTTATAATTTTTGTTTCATCCCAACAAATTTTCCCGTTTTTCCATTTCATATTGACGCATTGAAATTACCCTATGTTTCACGCGATGAATTTGATTTTCCAATGTTAAAAAAGGGACAGTAGATTTGTAAACAGGTACTTTATATGGTAACTATGATATTGTCTGCTAGTAGATTGTTTATTTGAAAAAAAAAAACAAACAAATAAAGCGGTCCATTGGATGAGAGCGATGCTAAAAACATGAACATAAATTATGTTGGAATTTTCTGAAAATAACTTTTTTATTCATCGGCAATCCCGAATGCCAAGTAATAACCACTTAAGAGTACCGAACAGGACCAAAATAGAAAAATTCCGGCAAACATATATTTTTATACCCTTCACCACAATATGGTACAGGGTATTATGTCATTGTGCATATGTTTGTAACAGGCAAAAGGAAACGAGATAGACAAACGATCCCTTTTGAGAATATGCATCGAATCACTTTTTAAGCCGATTTATGCATGTCCGTCGTCCATGTTAAATTGTAAACAAAGTACAAGTCGCATTTTTGATTCGAATTGGATTAAATTTGGCACAGCTCATTTATTTGGGGAAATAGGTTCAGATGTAGATATAGCTTCCATATATATTTTCGTCCGATTTTAGGTAAATAGTGCACTAAAGTCCCTATATATCCTTCGATTTGCACGAAATTTGTGCATAGGTTAATGAATTAAGCCTAGAAAGACGTGTGTTAAATTTCGTGAAAATCGGTTCAGATTTAGATGTAGCTCCCATATATATTTTCGTTTGATTTAATGTAAATGGTGCACCAAAGTCCCTATTATTCCTTCGATTTGCACGAAATTTGCCATAGCGTACTGAATTGAGTCTAGAATGATGGGTGGCGAGTTTCGAGAAAATCGGTCCAGATTTCGATATATGTAGCTCCCATATATATTTTCGTCCGATTTTATGTAAATGATGCACCAAAGTCCCTATATATCCTACGATTTGCTTGTATTTTGTATAGCGTATCAAATTGAGACTAGAATGACGTTATTGCGTTTTGTTGAAATTGGTGCAGATGAAGCCATAGCTTCCATATGTATTTCGAAAGGGTGTCTGATTGAAATTGCTTGATAATTGTCTTCGTATGCTAACCTCCAAAATCTAGCAATGTGAAATTACAGTTACTTTGGGGTAATGGGGTGCGGCCGTTAACCAGCTACCCCTAAATATGTACCTATATTAATAATTTCTGATAAGGAAATATTTTACTCAATTTGAAATATGAAATTGAAGCCAATGCAATTGTAAAACGTGTTTATGAGGGCTACGCGTAAAAGTGTACCAATGTTGATAATTTTTAGTAATAAGACTTTCTACCCAGGGAGAATCCGAAATACAAAACCGCATATTAGGTTGAAAAATGTGCCCAAAACCTTAAAAAATCAAATATTGGGTATGGGGTACCCAAAGAAGACCGATATATTTATTTTCCAATACCAAATGTCCTAGGAGTAGTGCAATATATGGGCAAAATTCCAAAGCTCTGTTTTCAATATTGCGACCTCAATCGGACGGACATGGCTAAATCGACAAGGAGTAGCCTTTAAGAATAAATGGGGTCTCTGATGAATATTTTATTATTACATATAAATTATTTTGTTCATTTAATTTTTTAGCACTTTTTTCTGGCACTTTTTTAAAATTTCTAGCATTTTTTTCAACAAAATCTAGCATTTTTTCTTAACAGAGTTCTGGCAACACTGGTGCAAAGTATCAATTAAATTGGATATTCTGTTCGCTTCATATGAAATTTAAAAATTTTCAAAGCTATTTGACACGTTGTGACAGAGCTACTAGAAGGAGTGGACCAAAAGCTCCCATCTTCAAGGTTTTATCAGCATGTGAAATTAATTTTTAATCCTATTTTATACTACAAAATTGCTTTACTCCAAAGGATATTTTTCATAATCAAGGTTGGACAACCGTTTACAATATTTTGTTCTTTAAGCTTTGTTTTTTTTTAGTGGCTTTTACTAAAAATTTCCTTTTTTCTTTTTCTTTCCTCTCAAAAAATAGTCTGTTCGGGTGCCCTGGCTCAACAATTGAAACCAAATCAGGAGGATCCATGTAAAGTCAAAGGACGTGTGGTCGGTGATGTCACCTATTGTGATCGCTATTGGGAATGTGTCAACAATCAACCGGAATTGTACGATTGTCCAAATGGTTTGGTATTTGCTGGCAAACATCGTGGTGTAACGGAAGGCTGTGATTATCCATGGCGTGCCAACTATTGTGAGGACAAACAAATGGCGAGTAAGTATCACAAGGGAGAACAGTACCATTTTTTGTTATTTTTTTATTGCAGAGGGAATTTAAAGAGTACATTTTAATTCTTAAGCCGTATATTTAAGATTTAAGAATCAAAATTAAAGAAGAAGTATTTGTGTGTAGTGGTTATGTTTTTCGAGTCCTTTACAGCTGTTCCAGAAAAAAAAGCAATACTAAGTTAATCATAAAATCCAATTATGGTCATAATGTTGAGCTATTTTTTGCAATTTCCTAAAAACAAAATTCGGCAGAAAAGAAAATGGAAGAAAAAACATTTTAACCCAACTAAAAAAGAGAAGAGAATTGTAAAAAACTAAGGACATACATACAAAAAAAAAAAAAACTCAATTCGTTTAGAAAATTGCTGTGCTAATAGATTAATTTGGTAAACTGGATGTTGTTGTTGCTGTTCACATAGGTATTACATTTTTTATTCTATGATGTACAACAAATGAACCTATGGTCAATTGGATGGAGTATACTTTTTTTTGATTCCAGCATTATTTAGGTGACCGGCAAATACCAGTTATAACACGAACAACAACAAAGTCGTTCAAAATACCAACAATTTCACTGAAGCCCCCTAACAAGACGACAACAATTCAATTCATCTATCCATCGATTCTAGCTACCATTTACCCTTCTACTACTCATGGACCACTCACTGGTGAATTGCTTTCAAAGATTTGTGCAAAATACATTTTTTTCTTCTACTGCCATACGTTGGAGTTTTTTCGTTATTGCTTGGAATTTGGCATGATTCGGATGGACAAATATGTTGTTCACAGAAAATTGGTTATGTTGAAAAATGCCAAGAGGTCGAGTGGTGGACACCACCACTTACACAGTGGATTTAAAATCTGGGATTATGAATATTTTTTAATTTTTTTTTGTGGAATTTTAAACGAAAAAAAGACTTGCAGGCTTTACTCTGGATGTGTTATCTTTTTACGTAAACAATTCTATAAGCCACTATCGAGGTAGATAATATGATACCATAGATCAAATTTTTAAGGTTTTTTTATAGTAGAAAATTGAGTACTAATCTATCCAGAAGCACTTCGAATCAAAATACACAAAATTTAAAGGTTATATCCACTAGTAAACTAAAAAAAAATATTATCCTGTGACATTCAGATGAAAAAAATCTTCAAAAAAAATATATTTGCTACACTTCTTGTAAAAAATCAGGTTTCTAGCTCAATGTTTGACCCACCAAATTGTAGTGTGCTGCACATCACCAATGCAGTTGAAAACCAGTAAGGAAAGTAGTAAAGTCGGACGGGGCCGACTATATGATACCCTTCACCACATTGGGTATATTCAGCAGTTGAATCCTAACAGACGTCGCATTTTTAAAGTACCAGTAAAATGCAATTGGATCCATATACATGTCATTCTGCAACCGATACTAAATTTTTCATTTCGTCAGATATAGAAGCTATATCTAAATCTAAACTGATTTCAGGAAACTTAACACACATCATTCTAGACCTAATTCATTACGCTGGGCCAAATTTCGTGCAAATCGAAAAAATATAGGGGATTTGGTGGACCATTTACCATAAATCGGACGAATATATATGGGAGCTATATCTAAATCTGAACCGATTTTCACAAAACTTGGCACACGTCTTTCTAGACTTAATTCAGTACTCTATGCCAAAATTCGTGCAAATCGAAAGATTTTCAAGGACTTTGGTGCACCATTTACCTAAAATCGGGCGAAACTATATATGGGAGCTATATCTAAATCTAAACCGATTTTCACGAAACTTAGCGCACATCATTCTAGACTTAATTCCGGATGCTATGCCAAAATTCGTGTAAATCGAAATATTTTCAGGGACTTTGGTGCACCATTTACCTAAAATCGGGGAAACTATATATGGGTAGGGGAGAGGGGGGCACCTTTGAACGTGGGGCACCTTTGAACAGCGCTCATAAAATCTTGGTTTAATATTTTTCCGACCCGCAACCACATTTTTGTATATGGCAATCTTGTTCTCTATATGCGTAAACCACTTTGGCTTGCTTTTTCAGTTGTCGAAAAATTGTGCGTGGGTGACCATGTTTTCTCAGTGTCATTGTAAACTTTTATTAATTTGGTTGTAAGGGCGCAGGAAGAATTCTGTGATAGTTTTCTTTCGTCAAACAAATTTGTTGCATTCCATCAATCATTTCAAACATAACTAATGTAAAATCTTTCATATATATTTATTACAAAAAAAAGTTTTTTAAATTTCCGTAAAATGCCATGGGTGGGGCACCTTTGTACATGCCCATTAAACTCGAGTAAAAAAGGAGTTTTTAACTTTTGGCTTCGATTTCTAAAAATTTCAAATGGGCTAATAAGATTACGAAATTAACTGTGTTTTTCACCATATTCATTTTTGTTTTTAAGTCATTTTATGTTTTAATAACTTTTGATCTAAATTTTTTAAATTTTGAACATTTTTTATATATTTTTTAATGAATAAATGCATTTCAGATATGTATGAATAAAATACATATATATTTGAACATAAACACTGTAAAAAACCATGTCGTTCAAAAATGCTAACCCTTTGAGTTCGTCCATTAAAACAGTAATAAAATATATTTATCAAGCTTATAGTATGTCATATGTATATTCATTTCAAAGGTTACATATCTACCTATTAGTTAAAATTTATAAGAAACCAAAAATTATAAAATAAAAAATTTTATAAGGCTTGAAAGCAAAAAGTGTTCAAAGGTGCCCCCCTCTCCCCTACTATATCTAAATCTGAACCGATTTTCACGAAACCTAGCACACATCATTTTGGACATTATTTAGTGCGCTATGCCAAAATTCGTGCAAATCAAAAGATTTCCAGGACAGGACCATTTAACTAAAATCAGGCCAAACTATATATGGGAGCTATGTCTAAATCTGAACCGATTTCCACGGAACTTGGCACGCATCATTCTAGACTTAATTCAGTACGCTATGCAAAAATTCGTGAAAATCGAATGATGTACAGGGACTAAAATCCATAAATCGGACAAAAATATATGTTGGAGCTATATCTAAATCTGAACCGATTTTTCCCAATTTCAATAGGGTTCGTCCTTGGGCCAAATAAATGAACTGTATCAAATTTCGGCCAAATCGGATTATAAATGCGACCTGTACTTTGTTTACAATTTAACATCAACAGACGGACGGACATGCATAAATCGACTCAGAAAGTGATTCTATGCATATTCTCAAAAGGAAACATGGGTCTATCTCGATTCCTTTTGCCTGTTACAAACATATGCACAAAGACATAATACCCGGTACCACAGTGTGGTGAAGGGTATAAATAGTGAAAATTGTAAACAAAACCTACACCGAACTTGAGGTGCCTTTTTTGTGTTGGCTCTTTTCCATTGCAATTATTGGGTTTTGCTTCCCATGTCAAAGCCATGCACCCACGATTCGTCACCAGTTATGATAATTTAAGCAGAATCGTCGTTCATGATGTTCAACAACTCCTGGGCGATGTTCAAAATCTATCTATTTTGGAACAATCTTCCTTTCCGCACCTTTCATGCATGAAATTATATTGGCCGAACGATAGGCCAATATTTGTGGTACCAGAAGAAATGGCCTGATATTCTCTATTTTCGAACTTTGGAGATTTGGAAGAAATATTACAATGTTCAATGTTTGAATTAAATCCGCAATTCCTTTCGATAATTATTTTGACCACCACCCAGCCAGATAAACATTTACCAGACGGACACTTGTCAGCCTTGAGGGTATAAAAATAAAGTTTATGAAAAAAATGTCTATGTTTTTTGGATAATGAATACATAATTAAATTTAAAAAAATCCAACATGAAATGCACATTCAAAATACCTAAAATCGATCGGAAATTGTATATGGTTGCTATGACATGATCAATCGTTACCAAGAGAAAAAATATCAAAGTGAACATAGCAAAACCCTTAAAATACCAAAATTGGAGGGTACTATTATATGGAAGCTACATCAACAGGTACTGTACTGGATGAAGTAATTTTAGTGGATGACATAATGAATGAAGTCTCAGAGAAAAGTATCTCATGACAGCTCGAAGACTTAGACTCTGCGGATGATATCTGCCTTTTCTCACACAAGATATCTAAAACGCAGTCAGAAGAAGAAGATCTGGAGAGACCAGCACCAAATGTTGGGCTTGAGATTAATATCAAGAAAACAAAGGCCACCCGTACGGCAAACACCATGCTACAAGGCCAGGCAATTGAATACGTCGATAGAAGTGGTGATGCAGAAATAGACATTATTAAAATGCTAACAAAAGCGAGAGCAGCATTCGGACGACTGCAAGGTGTATGGAGAAGCTCACATAAATCCAGGAAAACCAAGTATAAAATATTCGAAGCATGTATAAAGCCGATTCTGCTATACGACAGTGGCTGGTGTCAAATACCATCACGCAAATGCTACAGGTATTGATAAACAGATGCCTCATGATCATATGCAGAATAGTCTGGCTTAACACCATATGTAGCATAGAGCTGTGAAAAAATGTCAATAGTATAACCAGAATGTCGCTTGTCCCCAAGGATCAAGAAATCGAGATCGACCAAGAAACACCTGCGACAATAATTTAAGAACTAAGACAAAATAACCTTGGAATAATGAAAAAACAACGACAACTAACCGAGTACGATGGCGGTGCTTAGTGGAAGCCCTATGTTCGCAAGAGGAGGACATATAACTTTATGATTTCTCCAGTGAATACAACGAGGTGTTGCAAACGGCCTAATAACGTTTCGAATTTAACACGAACCGTTAGTAAATTTTTGTATTATATCACATTTTCAATAAACTCCAATAATAAAGAAAAAGAGTCTTAGGAGCTGTGCATTTTTTCCCTTACAATTTTTTCAGAGATGTTTTGTCAAAAAAAAAAAAAAAAAAAAAATAATAATAATAATAATCCTGGCAATTTTTTTAAGTCCTTAAGTGTTGCCCATTTTTTTTAATAAGAAAATATTAGTATTAGTATTTTTTTCTATAGAAAAATAAGAGCCATTAAGGGCTATAGAATTGTTTCTTTACACATGTTTATAGAGGAAAGTTTTTTTCAGTCTGGCGGAGTACTTAGGTATTGATTATTTTTCACTAGAAAAAAAAACTTAGTGAGACAACAAGTGAAAAAGTGTTATGTTCGGCCGGGCCGATCTTGGATACCCTCCACCATAGATATACTGACAGGTACTTGAAATGAAAATATAGGGAAAATACCAAAAAGTGGATTTCATCCAACCTGTGCCTATCTTATTATTTCTTCCAAACTTAGTTCAGGTTCGAAGATGTGGACTATCGGTCCACTCCTTCTGATACCTCCCACACAGGGGCTAGGCCTAAATGCGGGTTATAGTTCATGTATAGTTCATTATCGAACCTTACGTTCTAGCTTTATCTCGATATCCTCCGGGTTAAATGATTACGACAGACTCTTAGAACCAAACCTAAAACGCGGAACAAATTAGATAACCATTTTAATATAAAAAAGGGGGTTATATGGGGACTACCCCAAAAAGGGGGCGAATATAAATCATGTTTGGTAGGGAGATTTGTTACCATATACGACTACAAAATACCTAATTGCAGCGAATTCAGTTGAAAAACGCGCTCAAGAACTCCAAAATACCGAATATCGGGGGTACCCTTATATGGGGGCTACCCGAAAAAATTTACCTATATTCATAATTTTTTGTGGAGAGTTTTGGAACCTATTAAGAACTCAAAATAGTAAATTACAGCCAATTCGGTGTAAAATACGAGCAAAACCCCCAAAATACTGAAAATTAGGAGGTGCCGTTATATGGGGGCTACAAGAAAAAGTGGACCTATACTCATAATTTTTTGTGGAGACATTAAGTACCCAATAAGAACCCAACGTACCAAATTTCAGCGAATTCGGTTGCAAAACATGGTCAAGAACCCCAAAATATCGAAAATTGGGGGTACCCTTATATGGGAGCTATGTCTAAACGTGGACCGGTATTAAAAATAGTACACGGGTGCATAATTCCATATGGAGCATATTTCAACTAATAAAAGAGTAAAGTGATTGACTGACTTACTGGCTGACTTAAGGATTCATCAACGCCCAGACGAAACGCCTGAAGCTAGAATCTTGAGAATCACTCTTAGTCCGAAGGTGTCCAATTTTGTGACATAAAATAGTCACCCTATTTATGTCATATCGATTTGCGCACCAACCATTTCTTAATTTACAAATTACCAATATTTTTTTAAACTTCATTATATAGAAAATAGGCTATATAAGTACCCGCTGCGATAATGGACAAATCAATAAACAGGTCATCCCGAACCATTTTTTTTTTTTGACAGATAACGGGTTGTTTTTTTTATGTATTAGAAACCATAAGTTATGATGCATTATATATATATATATATATATATATATATATCGAGCCTGGGAAATATTTCGGGATATATGGCCGATTAGATGTTAACACTCCTCTGCGGCATCATTTGACCCTATAAATATTGATCTTCATTACCATGGGAGTCATTCGAATTAGTTAGTTCGGCTTATAATTGTGGTACCTAGAGCGAATATACATACAATAATAATGTTTCGTTCTATTTCATCCCCGAAATATTCTCTGACCATCATCGAAAATTATAAACGTCGTCCTTGACAATAACCTGATTATAATGCAAAATTTCTTAGCCATCAGGGCTCTTTAGACCCCGTACACCAATATAATGGGTATCAATATAAAGGTCAACCACTCCTTGGACATACTATCAAATTTACGGATCTATACTTTCAGGCTCAAATATATACATACGCAAGTTTTTAAATTTTTCACAAAAAGTCTTGTGAAAAAATAGACCGATTTTCACCAAAACAGTCATACAAATTCCATTGTCAGAATCCTCTCTCTGTGTGTTAAATTTCGAGATGTTCGGGTCATAATTCTGACCTTAGAGCGTCTAGAAAAAAACAGCCAAGAATAAAGTTTTTGGTCCATTTCATCCATTAAAACTAATCGATCATTATCAAACATGCACAACTTCGTGACGATTGGTCCATAACTGTGGCCTGTATCGCCGACGTTTTGCGTTCATATGTGACTGTATGCTAGTCGCCTATCGGTTTGTCGAGATGTTTTGAGATGTTCACTACTAGTTTTTTTAAATTGACATTTATTCTTGTGTCTCATAGATAATAACATTAATAGAAATGCTGAACATTATGCTCCATTGGGAATTTAAACACTGTGCATTGTCTTCGCCTTGACGGCAATTGCTAACGGGTGATGCTGCTGCTGGACAAACCAACAAATACCGACTCCAATGGTTAAAACAGGTTCACCAAGGAGTAACAACACCAAGAACAACAGTATAAGTAGTAGCAGTATCAGCAACAACTTCAACAAACCTATTAAAGTGACAATTTATGGCTGGCATACATTTGGTCAATAACTACAGAAGCAGAAGCAACAACAAAAAGTACTACCACAACATATCACCGAACCAGAAAAACATTCAATTGAATGCACTTTGCATGTACGTTCTTCATTCGTTCATTCTTCACTCTCAGGCAGCATTTTGGGAATGTTGTTATTTCGCCCTGTCCCCCTATCACTCTCTCCATCCGTTCACCTGATTGGCCAATTTGGATCGATGTTCTACTGAAAATCTATTTACCTAAATGTTTTTATGAAACTGATACATACTACGACAATCGTAATGTTGATTGTGATTGCTACCACTACAACGACAGCAACAACATTTGTTTACCTCAATATTGTTCGATGACACTCACACTCGCACTCCAGTTGGAATTCTTATGAAGTCAGGTTTTAATCTCAGTCTGGTGGTCGCTCAGGTGAGGATGATGGTGTCACCATCATTCGCCGTTTGACATTGTGAATGTCACCCGGTCACCATTGTGTCCAAGAGTATTGATGGTTTTTGTTGTATTATAATTCTACGTGTTTTTGATGTGTTATTTTTGTGTTCTTCTGTTTCTATTTCATTTGTATTTTTTTCTCCTCTTCTTTTTTCGTCCACAGATGGTCCAATTTCAACGGAACACTGCGACTGGTTGTATGGTATATTTGGTCATGAAACATCGTGTACACGTTATTGGACTTGTTGGAATGGCACTGCCACCGAACAGCTATGCATTGGCGGTCTGCTCTACAATGAGAATGCCCACAGCTGTGATTGGCCTGAAAATGTCGATGGCTGCCAGAAACATCGTAAGTATAACTCCATGGTGACTACTGTTTAGGCTAAGCGTTTTCGATGGTTGGTTGGTTGGAGTTAGAGACCCTACAATGTCATTCCATACGATGATGTGGGAATTTTTAATTTAGACGATCGCATAAAGTAAAACAAAAGCAACAAACGAATTCTAATCGATTAGGCAATTCCCATGATATTTGTTTTGATTTCGGTTTTGCTTAGATTTGTAACGGCATGGTGAGCTAGTTTGGCATTGGCGTCTGGCTAAAGTGAATGAGGAATAATTTAGAAGTTGTAATAAATTTTAGTTTGTTTTTTCTCGAAAATAGTTATGGTTATCGGTAGCAGCGTTGAGATATAACGTAATTTTTTTCTAAATTCCGTGTAAAGCCAAATATTGGCGTTCTAAGGGACCTGATTTAAGCAGATTATTATACCCTACACAACTATGTTGTCAGGGTATTATAGGTTTGTGCAGCCCCAAGAGTTTGTAACGCCGCGAAATATTGGTCCTAGACCCACCTTTAAGTATACCGATCGTCATATCACGACTAGCTGAGTCGATCTAGACATGTGTGTCCGTCCGTCTGTCCGTCTGTCCATTATAATTTGTAAACACGATACAGGCCACAGTTATGGACCAATCTTCACGAAATTTTGCATGTAGGATGGGTTCTGGCCAATGAAGACCCCTATTGTTTCTGGTAAAGATCGGTTAATATTTAGGGCGTGAAATGGACCAAAAACTTTATTTTTGTCTGATTTTCTGGTCGCTCCAGAGGCCGCAATTATGGCCCAAACACATCTAATTTTTACATGGAGAAGGGGATTGGGCCAAAGAATAACCATGCCTGTTTTGATAGAGATTGGTCAATATTTAGCGGGTCAAATGAACCCTAACTTTTGTGTGAACAATTGCAAAATGTGTATTCTATAGCGTATATATTTACCCCTGAATGACAAGACCCAAGAAGTTGAAAATATATCCAAGAGGAGTATTTGGCCTTCAAATTGATACCAATTACATTGTCGTATATATTCAGATGTGGAAGTTACACTTAAATATTTACAGGTGCTTACGTATTCAAATATTATTTAGTAACCCATTACCACCCTAGAGTGCGAAAATATAGCGCTGATCGCTTTGAAATTTTCTATGAGGATCCAGGTATGGTCAAGGACAACGCCTGTAGTTTTCGGTGATGATCAGATAATAATATTGGGATAAAGTGGACTGAAAACTTAATTTTTTGGGGGTTTTTTGAGTCGATCTATAGGCCACAATTGAAATCCGAACATAACAACACAACCCACGGTGAAGGTCAAGAGAGTACAAATATTGCCCAAGATCAGAATATAGAACCACACAAAGTTAGATTTTCGTGGAAGTTGTGTAGGGTATCATATGTTCGGCCCCGTCCGACTATACTGCTCCGCTCACTGTTTTTTTTTATTTATTGTTAGCTTTGAAATTATATACGTATAAGTTCAATCGGTTGATTAAACCAAGTACTGTAATCGCGTTTATTATCTGAAAATCCGATGCATTTCAGTTCACCTTTGCATCTCGTATTGTCTTTCTCAGTAGTATGTAAAAAAGGTCACCCGATAGGCTGTCACCTTGTCTGAACCCACGTTCGTTATTGACGGGCTCCTAGTGGTCTTTTACGACTTTAACTGCTGGTCTTGTTCAAGTTACGGTTATCCTGCATATCTGTATTAATTTTGCAAGAATGCCGAACGCAGACATGACTTAAAACACATCTAATCGGTTAGAGCTGTTGTGGGTCATTTCCCGGATTTGGCGCAGTGTAGAAATCTGTCTATGGTGGATTTGTTAAGTCTGAAGTCACCATAATTTTTGCCGCCGCGTCAATCAGCCTCTTGCCGTAGTCGGAAGTTTCTTCATGGAGGCTGTATTTTATCACCGTTGGGCCAGATTTT